TCTGCAAGGCTTCTCAGCTGACACACAGAACCCCGATGTGTGGTGCTGACTAGGGTTTAGAACAGTGGTCCCCCCATTCCATCCTACGGCAGAAGGATCACCTGATGGCGGGACAGTGGAGCCACTCCGTGGGTGTGCCCCACCCTGACCAGCACAGCTGCGGCCTCTTGCCTCTGCCTTTCTGTTTTTGCCAGAGCACGGGGTCTTGCTGCTGTTGTCAGTGCTCACGAATCAGGGCCTGATACCTGGGCCAGGGCTTGGGGATGTGCCAGCGCCTTCCCGGGCCTCTTCTCCTGCTCACCTTTGACGCTGCGTCCCTCCGCCCACGGTCACGTAGGTACCTGTCCTGGGCCTCGCCGCCTGCACCCGCACATAGCTGTTGGTTACAAGGGCCACCACGACCACTGTTGCTGCATTGGTGCTCCGGGATGGGCCCTGGGTAGGACATTGGGGGTGCTGTTGCCTCCCCCTCTCCCCTGGGAAAGAAAGGCCATCCCTCTTCTCCCTTTCATGAGAGGAAGGAGCGTGCCAGTGAACCCCTTCAATCTCCGTACTTGCCCTCGAAGCCAGGTAGACCAGAAGAGATGCAGGTGCCCAGCTCTTCCCACTGCACAGAGGGTTGTGTCCCCTGTAGGGACTCCCACCCACTCCCCACTCCTTGGTGGGGGCTAGTCCAGGGCAGGGCGGGGACTGTTCTGTGGCAGGGTGCTCAGCAGACAGGCAGGTTCCAGCCCTGGACCCTGGCGGTGGACTTGCTCACTTAGTGCCTGTCCTTTGTGGGGGTTGCACCAGAGGCTCAGCATAAGTTCTGAGAAGGGGTAGATCCCTGTCATTGTCACCATCTTTGGAAAAAAAGATGGCACATGCCTATTCAAATTAAAATCTGTTGTAGTCTGATCAGCCAGAAATAAGAGGACATCCGGACATAGGAGTCTTTATTAATAGGCCGGCCGACTGGGGAGGACTCGCATTTCTCAAAAACCCTGCAGTCTGGAGTGAAAGCAGAGGGGTGCTTATAAAGGCAACATCACAATCAATTTTGGGTTGACATGGAAAATGAGGCAGGGGTGGAGAGGAAAGGGAGTGGGTTCCTATGTGAAAACAGTTGCAGAAGCTGAATCAGGCAGGTTAATCATTTCTTTCTTTTTTTTTTCAACATCACCAAATAATTGATTTGGAATCAGAATTAAAAGAACATTTGACAGCTGCGAAATCTATGTTCATTCTGATACTTCTGCAGTTGTGCAACTGACGCCTCACAAATTACTGGATTAACGTTACTTTACTCCTTCCGGATGGGGGCTTATCGATTTCACATTTGGGATCTTCAAACTTGAAGTTAGGGAGCGTGTTCATGTCTGCTTTACTGTACATTCGCTGCAGCTTACAAAGCTCCCTCTCCAGATCTTGCTGATATTCTGGCCCGGTATCAACAGGTGCTCCTGCTGTCTGTCGTTTAGGTTTGCACTCTCTAATCTTGTCCATAAAGAGTTTCCGTACAGGATCAAGTTCCGTATTAAATGCCACTGCTGTGACACCAACGTTCCTCCGCGAATGGGCTGAGACTGCTGATCGAATGATGGAGGGGACCTGCAGAGTCTGAAGAATCCTGGTGACTCTGTTATTTGCACTCAGTCCCGAGCTGCCAGAGCCTCCGTCCTCACAGGGTAATCATTTCTCAGAGCACTCTCCAGACCTTTGTCTAATGATCCCCATGGCTCTGGGCAGGGGTCTGGTGACTGGTAGTAACATTGCTAAGGAACATCTAAACAAAAAGGCTTCGGGCTAGTTAGCAAAGGCAAGAAGACTATTCATCACTATTTACTCTGGGCAACAGGAGGAAGCAGGTATAACGTAAAGTTCAAAGATGGAAGGGCTTCTGCTTCAAATCAATACCAAGTCGCACCTATCAGAGTTGAGGCTTCTGCAGTCGGAGGCCACGTTTGGCCCTGGGAGGCTGCGGAGGAGAGAGGGCCCTTGTGCCCGTTGGTGTCAGTTGCCTTTGCACGACTGCGTCGGATAGCAGTGGAACTCAGCTTGCACTTCGCAACTCGGCAGTTCCCTCCGTGAATATGCTAGTGGTTCTTTACTGCCAGCAGCGTTGCCCTCCAGGGAACGTTTGGCAATGTGGAAGGTGTTTTTGAATTATTTCCACTAGGGTGGGGCAGGGGTCAGGTGCTACTGGTAACCCGTGGACGGAGGTCAAAGACGCTGCTTCACATGACCCCCTTAACCCCAGGAAAATTATTCAGCTTCAGGTGCCACTGTTATTAAGCCTTGGTTCCCCCCATTCCATCCTACGGCAGAAGGATCACCTGATGGCGGGACAGTGGAGCCACTCCGTGGGTGTGCCCCACCCTGACCAGCACAGCTGCGGCCTCTTGCCTCTGCCTTTCTGTTTTTGCCAGAGCACGGGGTCTTGCTGCTGTTGTCAGTGCTCACGAATCAGGGCCTGATACCTGGGCCAGGGCTTGGGGATGTGCCAGCGCCTTCCCGGGCCTCTTCTCCTGCTCACCTTTGACGCTGCGTCCCTCCGCCCACGGTCACGTAGGTACCTGTCCTGGGCCTCGCCGCCTGCACCCGCACATAGCTGTTGGTTACAAGGGCCACCACGACCACTGTTGCTGCATTGGTGCTCCGGGATGGGCCCTGGGTAGGACATTGGGGGTGCTGTTGCCTCCCCCTCTCCCCTGGGAAAGAAAGGCCATCCCTCTTCTCCCTTTCATGAGAGGAAGGAGCGTGCCAGTGAACCCCTTCAATCTCCGTACTTGCCCTCGAAGCCAGGTAGACCAGAAGAGATGCAGGTGCCCAGCTCTTCCCACTGCACAGAGGGTTGTGTCCCCTGTAGGGACTCCCACCCACTCCCCACTCCTTGGTGGGGGCTAGTCCAGGGCAGGGCGGGGACTGTTCTGTGGCAGGGTGCTCAGCAGACAGGCAGGTTCCAGCCCTGGACCCTGGCGGTGGACTTGCTCACTTAGTGCCTGTCCTTTGTGGGGGTTGCACCAGAGGCTCAGCATAAGTTCTGAGAAGGGGTAGATCCCTGTCATTGTCACCATCTTTGGAAAAAAAGATGGCACATGCCTATTCAAATTAAAATCTGTTGTAGTCTGATCAGCCAGAAATAAGAGGACATCCGGACATAGGAGTCTTTATTCATAGGCCGGCCGGGGGTGCTTATAAAGGCAACATCACAATCAATTTTGGGTTGACATGGAAAATGAGGCAGGGGTGGAGAGGAAAGGGAGTGGGTTCCTATGTGAAAACAGTTGCAGAAGCTGAATCAGGCAGGTTAATCATTTCTTTCTTTTTTTTTTCAACATCACCAAATAATTGATTTGGAATCAGAATTAAAAGAACATTTGACAGCTGCGAAATCTATGTTCATTCTGATACTTCTGCAGTTGTGCAACTGACGCCTCACAAATTACTGGATTAACGTTACTTTACTCCTTCCGGATGGGGGCTTATCGATTTCACATTTGGGATCTTCAAACTTGAAGTTAGGGAGCGTGTTCATGTCTGCTTTACTGTACATTCGCTGCAGCTTACAAAGCTCCCTCTCCAGATCTTGCTGATATTCTGGCCCGGTATCAACAGGTGCTCCTGCTGTCTGTCGTTTAGGTTTGCACTCTCTAATCTTGTCCATAAAGAGTTTCCGTACAGGATCAAGTTCCGTATTAAATGCCACTGCTGTGACACCAACGTTCCTCCGCGAATGGGCTGAGACTGCTGATCGAATGATGGAGGGGACCTGCAGAGTCTGAAGAATCCTGGTGACTCTGTTATTTGCACTCAGTCCCGAGCTGCCAGAGCCTCCGTCCTCACAGGGTAATCATTTCTCAGAGCACTCTCCAGACCTTTGTCTAATGATCCCCATGGCTCTGGGCAGGGGTCTGGTGACTGGTAGTAACATTGCTAAGGAACATCTAAACAAAAAGGCTTCGGGCTAGTTAGCAAAGGCAAGAAGACTATTCATCACTATTTACTCTGGGCAACAGGAGGAAGCAGGTATAACGTAAAGTTCAAAGATGGAAGGGCTTCTGCTTCAAATCAATACCAAGTCGCACCTATCAGAGTTGAGGCTTCTGCAGTCGGAGGCCACGTTTGGCCCTGGGAGGCTGCGGAGGAGAGAGGGCCCTTGTGCCCGTTGGTGTCAGTTGCCTTTGCACGACTGCGTCGGATAGCAGTGGAACTCAGCTTGCACTTCGCAACTCGGCAGTTCCCTCCGTGAATATGCTAGTGGTTCTTTACTGCCAGCAGCGTTGCCCTCCAGGGAACGTTTGGCAATGTGGAAGGTGTTTTTGAATTATTTCCACTAGGGTGGGGCAGGGGTCAGGTGCTACTGGTAACCCGTGGACGGAGGTCAAAGACGCTGCTTCACATGACCCCCTTAACCCCAGGAAAATTATTCAGCTTCAGGTGCCACTGTTATTAAGCCTTGGTACAGGGCCAGCAGGTGGTGTGGTGGTTGAGGTGCTGGACTCCCACATGGTCAGCCGCAGTTTGAGTCCCAGATCTGGTGGCTTGCTTTCTTTCACACATTCCTTCTCTCTCTCTCTGGTGAGCACACATACCCTATAACAAACTAGAAAAACATAAAAATAATAAATATAATTCAAAAAATAGAAAAGGAATTCTGGTATATACCCTAGAGACACTCTCAAATGCAAGCCCTAAGAGCTGAGTAAAAGGATATTTATTGCATTATTTATTCCTACTGTAAATACTGTAAACAATCTACATAATGCCCTTCAAGAAGAGAATAGAGTAGTCCAGAGAGTGGAGCAGGGTAAAGCTCTGTACTCTGCGAGGCTGACTCACAGTGGAAAGGGGGTGCGACCTTCCTGGGTGTGTTCTTCCTGGGTGTGACCTCCCTGGGTGTGACCTTCACAGGTTAGCCTTCATGGATGTGACCTTCATGGGTGTGACCTCCATGGGTGTGATGCGAAATCTATGTTCATTCTGATACTTCTGCAGTTGTGCAACTGACGCCTCACAAATTACTGGATTAACGTTACTTTACTCCTTCCGGATGGGGGCTTATCGATTTCACATTTGGGATCTTCAAACTTGAAGTTAGGGAGCGTGTTCATGTCTGCTTTACTGTACATTCGCTGCAGCTTACAAAGCTCCCTCTCCAGATCTTGCTGATATTCTGGCCCGGTATCAACAGGTGCTCCTGCTGTCTGTCGTTTAGGTTTGCACTCTCTAATCTTGTCCATAAAGAGTTTCCGTACAGGATCAAGTTCCGTATTAAATGCCACTGCTGTGACACCAACGTTCCTCCGCGAATGGGCTGAGACTGCTGATCGAATGATGGAGGGGACCTGCAGAGTCTGAAGAATCCTGGTGACTCTGTTATTTGCACTCAGTCCCGAGCTGCCAGAGCCTCCGTCCTCACAGGGTAATCATTTCTCAGAGCACTCTCCAGACCTTTGTCTAATGATCCCCATGGCTCTGGGCAGGGGTCTGGTGACTGGTAGTAACATTGCTAAGGAACATCTAAACAAAAAGGCTTCGGGCTAGTTAGCAAAGGCAAGAAGACTATTCATCACTATTTACTCTGGGCAACAGGAGGAAGCAGGTATAACGTAAAGTTCAAAGATGGAAGGGCTTCTGCTTCAAATCAATACCAAGTCGCACCTATCAGAGTTGAGGCTTCTGCAGTCGGAGGCCACGTTTGGCCCTGGGAGGCTGCGGAGGAGAGAGGGCCCTTGTGCCCGTTGGTGTCAGTTGCCTTTGCACGACTGCGTCGGATAGCAGTGGAACTCAGCTTGCACTTCGCAACTCGGCAGTTCCCTCCGTGAATATGCTAGTGGTTCTTTACTGCCAGCAGCGTTGCCCTCCAGGGAACGTTTGGCAATGTGGAAGGTGTTTTTGAATTATTTCCACTAGGGTGGGGCAGGGGTCAGGTGCTACTGGTAACCCGTGGACGGAGGTCAAAGACGCTGCTTCACATGACCCCCTTAACCCCAGGAAAATTATTCAGCTTCAGGTGCCACTGTTATTAAGCCTTGGTACAGGGCCAGCAGGTGGTGTGGTGGTTGAGGTGCTGGACTCCCACATGGTCAGCCGCAGTTTGAGTCCCAGATCTGGTGGCTTGCTTTCTTTCACACATTCCTTCTCTCTCTCTCTGGTGAGCACACATACCCTATAACAAACTAGAAAAACATAAAAATAATAAATATAATTCAAAAAATAGAAAAGGAATTCTGGTATATACCCTAGAGACACTCTCAAATGCAAGCCCTAAGAGCTGAGTAAAAGGATATTTATTGCATTATTTATTCCTACTGTAAATACTGTAAACAATCTACATAATGCCCTTCAAGAAGAGAATAGAGTAGTCCAGAGAGTGGAGCAGGGTAAAGCTCTGTACTCTGCGAGGCTGACTCACAGTGGAAAGGGGGTGCGACCTTCCTGGGTGTGTTCTTCCTGGGTGTGACCTCCCTGGGTGTGACCTTCACAGGTTAGCCTTCATGGATGTGACCTTCATGGGTGTGACCTCCATGGGTGTGACCTTTCACAGGTATAACCTTCATGGGTGTGATCTTCCCCGGGTATGACCTATTGTTTTTGGCCGGATGCCCTTCAAGCCTGTGGAGCCTTCCCAGGGATTCTGTGAGCTACCTGTTACACCACTCTCTTTTTAACAAACGAACAAACAAGTGAATTATCTTTCTGCTTAAATCAGCTAATTTCATCTCTGTTCACTGAAACTAAGAACAGGGAGTGACACAATTTCTCCTTTTTTTCCCCCCTTAAACAGAGACCTTTTAAAAATATATTTATTTAAGGGGACCAGCAGTTAGTGTAATGGCTATGTCGCTGGACTCCCATGTAGTCGACCGCAGTTCGAGTCCCGGACCCGGTGGCTTAAACTCACACCGGGCGTGTGTGTGTGCGTGCCCAAGATCCCGAGAGGAGAATAGAGGAGAAGGGATTGTGGCGTGACCATCCCCCCTGGGGGGTGATTTCTCGCTTTCTATCTCTCTGTCTCTGTCTGTCTGGCAAGCACACGCGCCCTATAGCAAAAACCTCTCCAAAATATATATATATATTTATTTAAGTTTATTTATTATTATTGTTTTTTAATTTGACCAGAGAGAGAGAGGGAGAGAGAGAGAAGGAAATTGAGAAAGCAAGCCAGCAGGTCCAGGACTTGAACCACAGTCGACATGTGGGAGTCCAGGGCCCTAACCATCATGCCACCTGCCAGCCCCCACAACCTCTGCTTCTATCTGGTAGTCTGACCCCCAAAGGGTCCATGCTGATTGCATGTCTTGGACTTCCCAGGATACAGATGTTGAAAGCATCCTGTCTGTGGTCCTGTGAAGACATACGTGTTATTGAGATGTGACACCATTTTGGTTCAGAAACTGGAATCATCGAGACTGATGAGAGATGATCCTTATGCTGTTAAGGTGTCTGTGGGCCACGCCTCCACGTGTGAGGATGTGGGGGCCAGGAAACACCACGCTTGCCCTGAGCCAGAGCCATGGGGGCTGTCCGGGTCCCGTGTGTTGCCGTAACGACATCCCCTCTGATCTGACTACAGCTGCCCATGTCCGAACACCCTGGCCACGTACAGCTGGTTCTGTGGAACTTGGGTTTTCTGGCTCCTTCCGTGGAACGGATCACCCAGGCCTCCTTGTACGGACTGTAATGGTTAGCCCTAGTGTCAGGGCCACCAGCTCAGCCTGGCACTGACGGCCTACTCCCGTATTGCCCCAGCCTGTCTCCAGAGTCCCGTGTTGTCCAGACCCATGGCCCTGTTCAGCACCTGTGACGGCAGTGCAGGGTTACTGTTGGAGAATGCCAGGCCTTGGCTGCTGGTTCACTGCTTCCGGTGGCTTTTGTTTTTAATTCGTTATAGGGCACAGATGCTCGCTGGAGAGACAGAGAGAGGGCGAGTGAGAAGGCACCCCGAGGGCTGCAGTGTCTTCTCCATCTTCTCAGGATTCTGGACTCACCTGCATGCTTTTCAAGCTGCTGGGTAGTCAAACTGCAGCCAACCCAACCATCACGCCTCTGCTGGCCCTTGGTGGTTTGTTTGTTTGTTTTTTCTCTCTGGAAGTTTTCGCCTTAGTGTGCGTGCCCTCTCTGGTGAGAGAGAGAGAAAGAGAGACAGAGACAGTGACAGGGAAAGTGAGAAATCACCTTCCAAGGGGAAGGCCACACTGCAATCCCTGCTCTTCTATTCCCCTCCTAGGATCTTGGACCTGGATGCTCACGTGTATGGCATGGTTTTCAAGTCACTGGGTCCGGGACTTGAACTGTAGTCAATGATGTGGGAGTCCAGTGATGTAAGCACTGTGTGATCTGCTGGCTCCCCTGGTGGGTTTTAAGAGGGTTCAGAAGCAATACTTTTGCTTATACACGTAGGTCTTCTTTCACGGGTGATTTCTCGCTTTCTATCTCTCTGTCTCTGTCTGTCTGGCAAGCACACGCGCCCTATAGCAAAAACCTCTCCAAAATATATATATATATTTATTTAAGTTTATTTATTATTATTGTTTTTTAATTTGACCAGAGAGAGAGAGGGAGAGAGAGAGAAGGAAATTGAGAAAGCAAGCCAGCAGGTCCAGGACTTGAACCACAGTCGACATGTGGGAGTCCAGGGCCCTAACCATCATGCCACCTGCCAGCCCCCACAACCTCTGCTTCTATCTGGTAGTCTGACCCCCAAAGGGTCCATGCTGATTGCATGTCTTGGACTTCCCAGGATACAGATGTTGAAAGCATCCTGTCTGTGGTCCTGTGAAGACATACGTGTTATTGAGATGTGACACCATTTTGGTTCAGAAACTGGAATCATCGAGACTGATGAGAGATGATCCTTATGCTGTTAAGGTGTCTGTGGGCCACGCCTCCACGTGTGAGGATGTGGGGGCCAGGAAACACCACGCTTGCCCTGAGCCAGAGCCATGGGGGCTGTCCGGGTCCCGTGTGTTGCCGTAACGACATCCCCTCTGATCTGACTACAGCTGCCCATGTCCGAACACCCTGGCCACGTACAGCTGGTTCTGTGGAACTTGGGTTTTCTGGCTCCTTCCGTGGAACGGATCACCCAGGCCTCCTTGTACGGACTGTAATGGTTAGCCCTAGTGTCAGGGCCACCAGCTCAGCCTGGCACTGACGGCCTACTCCCGTATTGCCCCAGCCTGTCTCCAGAGTCCCGTGTTGTCCAGACCCATGGCCCTGTTCAGCACCTGTGACGGCAGTGCAGGGTTACTGTTGGAGAATGCCAGGCCTTGGCTGCTGGTTCACTGCTTCCGGTGGCTTTTGTTTTTAATTCGTTATAGGGCACAGATGCTCGCTGGAGAGACAGAGAGAGGGCGAGTGAGAAGGCACCCCGAGGGCTGCAGTGTCTTCTCCATCTTCTCAGGATTCTGGACTCACCTGCATGCTTTTCAAGCTGCTGGGTAGTCAAACTGCAGCCAACCCAACCATCACGCCTCTGCTGGCCCTTGGTGGTTTGTTTGTTTGTTTTTTCTCTCTGGAAGTTTTCGCCTTAGTGTGCGTGCCCTCTCTGGTGAGAGAGAGAGAAAGAGAGACAGAGACAGTGACAGGGAAAGTGAGAAATCACCTTCCAAGGGGAAGGCCACACTGCAATCCCTGCTCTTCTATTCCCCTCCTAGGATCTTGGACCTGGATGCTCACGTGTATGGCATGGTTTTCAAGTCACTGGGTCCGGGACTTGAACTGTAGTCAATGATGTGGGAGTCCAGTGATGTAAGCACTGTGTGATCTGCTGGCTCCCCTGGTGGGTTTTAAGAGGGTTCAGAAGCAATACTTTTGCTTATACACGTAGGTCTTCTTTCACCTCTTAGGACTCTGCCCATTTCCTGTTATTTCCTAAACTGGGTCAAGTGTAATGCTGCTCTTTCTCCCCTAGGCGTAGCTGGCAAGCTGGACCGTGGTCGGGAAGAGCTCATTCATCTTGAGTATTTGCAATCCTGTGGGAGCCCAGCATGGTCGGTCAGGGTCAGCTTGGTCCTTCTGTCTGTTCCAGGCTTTCTGCACTAGTTTCTTCTGCTCCCTGGGCCTCATGGCCCAGGAAAGGACTTGGTTCAATCTTCTGTGTCCGCCCACATGTGGGCTCTGTCCCCCGGGCATGAGCAAGTTTCCAGAAAGAATTGCTGTTCTGGAAAATTGGACTGCTACAGGATTGAGCAATGTGTTTGCTCCATTTGGGCACAGCTTGGTGGCCTGGGTCACCCAGAGGCTCAGCTGGCAGGGTGTCATGTTTACCAGCTTCCATCTGTCTGTATGAGGAAGACGTTCTGGGGGAGTATGAGAAGGCTACACGGGGTGCCCAGTCTTCTGGCAACAGACTTCAGCTGTGGACCCTGCGTCTGCGTGCTCAGTAGAGTGACTCGCTGAATAGCAGTTAAAGGAGGGCTTCCCAGACTCCCAGCGAGAGGGTGCTTGGGCTCCTTCTGCAGCTTTCCTGGCCATCCCAGCCTTATCGTTCCTCCGTCTTACAAAAAATGTAAGTAAACATTTTGTCCATATTATTTTTAAAAACTTATTTATTTAATTTTATTTGTTGTCATTATTTTTTAATTTGACTAGAGAGATACAAAGGGAAAGGGAAAGTGAGAAAAGCCACCAGGTCCAAGACTTGAACCACAGTCAGCCATATGGGAGTCCACCACCTTAACCACCATGCCAACTGCCCTTGTCCATATTTTTCATTCAACACTTAGCCTTGGGGCCGGCTCTGTGGCTCAGTGGTTAAGGGAGCCGGATCCCACACAGCCAAATGGGATTCAAATCCTGGCCCCAGCAACATGAAAAACATGCCGGGCACATGTGTGTGCATGCCTAAAGTCCTGACAGGAGGGAGGAGTGGAGATTAAGGGATTTCTGTGTGACCAAGCTCCATGGAGGTGTTTTATCTTCCACTTACTTTGGCAAACACATGCCCTCCAGGCAACTTAAAACAACAACAAAAACAAAAACCTGTCTTGTGTTTTTTGTTTTTATTGTTTTTATTTTTATTTGTTTGCTTTTAAGACATGAACCAGGCTGGCCCAGAAGAGCCTAGCGGTTAAGGGAGCAGTATCCTACATGACTGGCAGGGGTTCGAATCCTGGCTCCAGTGGCTTGAAAAACATGCTGGGCACATGAGTGTGCATGCCTCAAATCCTGACAGGAGGAACGAAGGAGAAGGGATTGTGGCATGACCAGGCCCACTGGGGAGTGCTTTCTCCCTTTCTCTCTTTCTCTCTGTCTCTGTCTCTCTCTGGTGAGCATACATGCCCTCTGGCAGTTAAACAAAAGTGGGACTCCATGGCTAGTACCTCGAGAGCATTTCATTCATTGCTTTCCGTGCTAAAGGCACCAACTACTGACATACTGTCTGGCTCAGAGGTTGCAGTCAGCAAAAATTTGTTCAGTGATTGTGCTGTTTCTAGAAAGAAAAGACTATGGGAACCAGCAGTTAGCGTAATGGCTATGTCGCTGCACTCCCACGTAGTCGACTGCGGTTCGTGTCCCGGACCC